AGGAGTGGCTGGTGGGTTTGAACCACCAGCCTTCTGGTTAGCAGTCAAGTGCCTTAGGCACTACGCTACCAGAGCTCCCTTTTCCCCCTTTGGTGATACTTAATTATTACTTTTCCTTGTATTTTAATAATTTAATATCATTATTACTTCTAGATGTCATTTGTCAGAGTGAACCGTTACTGTCCCCGAGGAGGAGGAAGAAAAGCATTAAAAGTAAAGAAGAAGAAATCTTCAGTGAAGCAAGAATGGGATGTAAGTCTAGGTGGCATAATATAACACTATAACAGTATTCTGGAGCAATAAACCTGGTAATATGGCCCTGGTCATTCAAATAGTGCTCTGAATGGGTCTCGGCATGTAATTAGGGCAGAATGGGTTCCAAGCATAGTTACATTCTAGCCTTGGAGGGACGAACAGAATCCTTTGGGGAGCTTTTTCAGAATATACATGTCCAGGCTATCACCCCTACCTCTTCTGAGAAATTGAAATCGTAAGTGGGTGGGAAGTTTGTCTTTTTTTAAAAAAAACGTACCCCCATCTCAGCTTTGATTTAGAACTCATTGCTTTAGGGCCATTTTAGCTAACCTGTATCACTGACATCTGAAATTTTTGTTAACTTTGGTAGGCTCTGGTGGTGTCATTGTTAAGGTATTTGGCTGCTAATCCAGAGGCTGGTTATTCAGGCCTACCAGCTGCTCTGCGGGAGAAAATGAGGTAGTCTGCTTCTGTAAAGATTTATAGCCTTAGAAACCTTATTGGGCAGTTCTGCTCTATCCTGTACAGGGTCACAAAGAGTTGGAATTGACTTGATGGCAGTGGGTTTGGTTTTTTTTGTAGGCTTGCTTGTAGCAATCAGTGATAGCATAATTATGTGAGTGGCATTTTGGCTTAAAAAGTGGGTCATCCTTGCTTTCTTGCCCCTTGAATTGTTTGTTCTTCACAACTAGAGGCTGATTTACTTCAGTACAAAGGTTCTTAAGATAATAGCACACATTTCAAAGTGCCTTTGGCACATACGATCCCTGACTCCTGCCCTGAATACCCCACAGTATTACCAAGGGGATTTATATCTTTTGCAGCTTGGTGCTTCGTTTTAGACAAGGAGGTACCTTTACTTTTCATGTGGAGAGTAAGTAGTCAGGATCTAATTTGTATCTCAGGGATTCTTTTGGACTTGGGACCTTCCAGGTTGTGGCCAGCCATCTTAGCCAGATGTTCTTGGTAACCTGCTAGCATTTAGAAATGGGTCAGTGGTCTTCTCTGTGCTTAGATTGTTTTGTTGCCATCCAGTTGGCTATAAAATATTTTGAGAGTGTGATTCTAAGGAAATGACTGATTAAAAGGGAAAAAATAGTGCACAGAATAAGGTAAGTATTGTTTCCTTCACAGTGGCCACTTTGGGAAGGTCAGTATTTATTTTGATATGCTGTCATTCCTCAGAGTATAATTGAAGCCCATCATTTAAAATTGCATTCTTAGTTTTCCTCATTTACTGTTTGTTTTCACCAATGCTGGAAAAAAAAAAATCTTTGTTTTTTGAAAGTAGACTGACCTTGGGAAGTAGTCAGAAGTTACAAGGTATGAAGTCTGGTGAATGACAAAGGAGAGATCAAGCTGAATAATACTAGTTTGGTACAAGATACTTGCTTAAATGGCTTGTAAATTAGCTTTAAAGGAAATTCTATAGAAAATCATTGTAAGTAATATTAATGAAATTATTATATCTTTACTCATGGGAACACATTCCAAACATGCCACTTATTTATGTGCCTGATTTTATTATGGTTGTTACTAAAAACAATTGTCATTACTGTATAAATGTACCTTGTCCTTTTATAAATAAGTGTAAAAAGAATTACTGTTTTAGTGTAGGAAAGACTTGAGGTGGATATAAACTATGGCCAAGAGTTTGGTCTTTTAACACCTCAGAAGCTATTTCACTAGACTCAGTTTTCTTTGTATTTGTCATCACTTAGAAGTAAAACTCTTAACTTGTTTTATTTCCTACCTTTCTAAATCTGGTTAGCAAAATGCCTAAAGTCATTTTGGAATGTACAAGTTGCAGGCCCACTACTTAGAGAAGTATAGGCTGTGCATTTACTAAGATGTTAATGGCACCTCCTGGAGTTTGAAATGTGGTTCTGCCATGTTGGTTGAATGTCTTTTTACTTAAATGACTATTTCCAAATATTTTGAGACCATACAATGCTGTGGAAGCTCATCGTCATTATGGTGGGTTCTATGCTTAAGGTATTTGCATAGACACAGATTGTGATCATGGAGTCCCTGGGTGGTACAAACAGTGCTCTCGGATGCTGTTTTTTTGTTACCTAGGAGTTTATTCTCTTCTAGTTTGGGAGGCTAGAAGTCTGAGTTCAAAGTATCAGGCTCTAGGGGCTGTGTGAAAGCCCCTCGACCTTGGGCTTCAACTCTGCCTCCTGCTTCTGGCCCACTGAAGCTGGAGGCTTTTTTTCACTCAGGCAGCCGCTGGCTGCTGAGGCTGACAAATCCAAGGTCAACAAGTAAAGAGGCACAGTCCCAGTGTTACCAAACAACACAGCAGGCCACTAATTCAAGTCCAGAAGAAGTCCCAAGATCAGCAGAGCATGGCAGGCTGTTGAACAGCAATTCATCTACGTGGAGGGTTCAAGTGTGCTATAAGCTGGAGACCTTCCTCAAAGTTGCTTCTTATATACTGGAAGCAGCCCACATCCCTAAAGCAGCTACTCAGCTGCTCTGGTAGATTCCCCCATGGAATTAATTACCAGTCTCCCCATGGGGAATAACTACATCCAGCTGCCCAGCCACTCAACCAGGCCCAGCCAAGCTGACATACAACTTTAACTAAAACAGATGCTAACTGAAAGGTTGGATGTTTGAATCCACCTTGAAGTGCCTTGGAAGAAAGGCCTGGCAATCTACTTCTGAAAATTCAGCCACTGAAAACCCTCTAGAGCACAGTTTTACTCTGACACATATGGTGTCAGCATGAATTGGAATTGACTCAATGGCAACTGGGTTTGAGCTAGAGGGACCACACTTTAGTTTAGAAGTCTTTAGAGTTGCCTCATGGAATTCTGGAATTCCATGGAATACAATTTTGAAAACTAAAGTTTGACTTAAACTTACTCATTTTGAGTTATATACTACCTTATTAAATTCATTATTTAAAAAAACCCCAAAAACCTACTGCCATCAAGTCGATTCTGACTCATAGTGACAAATCCCATTGGGTTTCCAAGGCTGTAAATCTTTATGAAAGTAGATTACCTCATCTTCCTCCATGGAGCAGCTGGTAGGTTTATACCGCCAACCTTTTGGTTAGTAGCCAAATGTCTTACCCATTATGCCACCAGAGCTCCTTAAGACATTTAAAAGTAGTCTGTTCTTTCACTGTTTTCTGTTAAGACACTTAAAAGTACTGTGTTAATATTTAAATCAAGAATGCTGTTTCCTGGAAAAATGGATTCTTTGGTCCCAGAATTCTGAATCCCTTTTCAGCCATTAAAATGCAGTATATGCTAATATTTTATAAGGAAACTTATTATTTTTTTAAGGAAGACCATTTTGCTTTTTGCAGAATACTGTGAATGACCTAACAGTCCATCGGGCGACTCCTGAAGATCTGGTATGTTTAAAATTAAAAGCTAACGAATTTGTTCAATATATTTTTTTGATATTTGATTTCTAATCTTCAGAATAGAAAGCATAAGTTCTTGGAAATTGTTCAGTGATACTTAATTCTATTTATATGTATATAGTCATCACCTGTCTGTCAGTTTAACCTGCTCTGGTGGCTTATATGTTGCTATAATGTTGGAAGCTATGCCATCAGTATCTCAAATACCAGGCGGGTTACCTGTGGTGAAAAGATTTCAGAAGAGCTTCCTGACTGAGACAGACTAAGAGGAAAGGTCTCTCTTTCTTTCATCTATCTGTCTGTCTATGTACCTGTGTATCTGTCTAATCTAATCTATGGTATTATTTGCTACAACTTCCCTATACAAACACACTGGTCTAGTGAATGTAATAATTTATTCTTTATTTATCTCTTGAACATTTCATGTGTATTTCTACTTTTGACCCCCTATTCATGCTATTTTCATCCAATTTTCCTTCCTTGGATCTGTGTCTTTACCTTACTCTTCACTTATTTGTGTTTTACTTGTTTCTTAATCTCAATTCAAGTCATACCAATTTTTTGTTTAGTTTTGGCTATATAGGTTGTTTTCCCCTCAATATCAACTCTATTGAGATATAATCACATACCTTAAAACTCACCCTTTTGAAGTATATAATTTAGAGATTTATGATCTATTCTTAGAGTTATGCAACCATCACCGCTATCAAATTCTAGACCATTTTTGTCACCTCAAAGAGAAACCCCATACTTATTAGCAGTCACTCCTCATTCTGCCCTTCCTCTAGTCCATGGCAACCACGAATCTATTTTATTATGTCTCTGTGGATTTACCTATTCTGGATGTTTTATATTAATAGATTCATACAATATGTGTGATCTTTTGTTACTAGCTTATTTTCCTTAGCATACTGTTTTCAAAGTTCTTCCATGTTGTACCATGTGTCAATACTTCATTGCTTTTTATAGCTGAATAACATTTCATTGTATGGAAATACATTATTTATCCATTCATCTATTGATGGACATTTGGATTGTTTTTACTTTTTGTTTATTATGAATAATCCTTTTATGAACATTTGTTTACAGGTTTTTGTGTGGACATAAATTTCATTTCTCTTGGATATATATATACTTAGGAGTAGAACTGCTGGATCATATAGTAACTTTATGTTTAATATTTTAAGAAACCACTGGTTTTTGAAAAGATTTTACAATCTTATTAGCAATGTATTAGTGTTCCAATTTGTCCACATCTTTACCAGCACTTGGTATTATCTGTCGTTGTTGTTTTAATCCTTTAGTGAGTATAAAATTGCTGTGGTTTTGATACGTGTTTCCCTAAAACTAATGATGTTGAATATCTATTCATGCTTAGTCATCAGCTGATATCTTTTTTTGACAAATGTCCACTCAAATCCTATGCTCATTTAAAAATTGGGTTATTTATCTTTTTATTGTTGAATTGTGAGAGTTCTTATATATTCTTAATATAGTCCCTGCTAAAGGGGCAAGGTAGTGTAGTGCCTAAGGCACTTGACTGCTAACCAGAAGGCTGGCGGTTCAAACCCACTAGCCACTCTTCGGAAGGAAGGTTGGGCAATCTAATTCTGTAGAGATACCACTTTGGAAACCCAAGGAGGGGTCGCTATGAGTCGGGTCTCACTCGACAGCACATAACAACAACAACAACAAAGGGGCAAGGAGGTGGCATCTTCTGATCTCCCCTACCTCCACAAGAGGAAGACAGAATCACCATCAGCAGCCCAAGGTCTGCTCCTATGAGGCCAGCCATGTCATCACCCTCCAGCCCTCTTACCAACCTCAACACCAACTGTCCCTCTCACAGGACCCTCTCTGCTGTGTTTGATAATTCACTACAGTGGTCACATAGAACTCACAGATTATGGGGTTTATTAGGGATACAACAGACTACAATTCAAATTCAGGAATGTGCTCAGGATACAGTTCTTCAATCAGGACAGTCTCCCTTCTGCTGTGCCCTTGGCCGCTCAGCTTGGCCTCTGCCTCTGTGGGCCAGGTAAGCCTGATGCTCAGTCCTGTGCCTCTTGGTTCCACAGCTGCCATCTCTCAGCTGGGTGTCTCTCTCAGCCAGCAGTGAGATTATCCCTCTGCCTCTTGGAGGGCTAATTTTAAGCCTGGCAGAGTGGCATAACTAACCAATCCCAACATCAGAGTTCTACACACCTGAGAGAGAGTGAACTTTCCCAGAAGATTACTTCATGCTGCCCCACTTGACTTTAACAAGTAGTACTCAGTTGCTCGTGGCAAAGTGGAAGTTACAAAGACTATGGCTAGAAAAGCCATACCATGTAATTCACTACAGGGTTGTCCCTTATCAGATGTGTTGTTGTTAGGTGCTGTCGAGTCAGCTCTGCTTCATAGCGACCCTGTGTATAACAGAACAAAACACTGTCTGGTCCTGTGCTAACCTCACAATCCTTACTATACCTGAGCCCATTGTTGCAGCCACTGTGTCAATCCATCTCATTGAGGGCCTCCCTCTTTTTCATTGACCCTCCACATTACCATGCATGATATCCTTCTCCAAGGAATGATCCCTTCTGACAACATGACCAAAGGTATGTTTCAAATTTCAAAGATGAAGTCTGGCCATTCTCACTTCCAAGGAACATTCTGGCTGCACTTCTTACAGGACAGATCCATGGTACCTTAAGTATTCTTTGCCAGTGCCACAACTCAAAAGCAACTCTTCTTTGGTCTTCCTTATGAGACCTGGTCTTCATTATCCAGGTCTCACGTGCATGTGAGGCAGTTGAAAATACCATGGGTTGGGTTAGGTGTACCTTAGTCTTCAAAGAGACATCTTTGTTCTTCAGCACTTTAAAGAGGTCTTTTGCAGCAGACTTGCCCAGAGCAATGTATCGTCTGATGTCTTGACTGCTGCTTCCATTGCTGTTAATTATGGCATCAAGTAATATGAAATCTTTGACAACTTCATTTTTTTCTCCATTTATTGTGATGCTGCTTATTGGTCCAGTTGTGAAGACTTTTGTTTTCTTTTTGTTGAGGTGTAATCCATACTACAGACTGTAGTCTTTAATCTTATTCAGTAAGTGCTTCAAGCCATCCTCACTTTCAGCAAGTAAAGTTGTGTTATCTGCACATCGCAGGTTGTTAATGAGTCTTCCTCTAATCCTTCATTCTTCATATAATCCAGCGCCTTGGATTATTTGCTCATCATACAGATTGAATAAGTATGGTGAAAGGATACAAGCTTGACATACTCCCTTCTTGATTTTAAACTATGCAGTATCTCCTTGTTCTGTTTGAATGACAGCCTCCTGATCTATGTACAGGTTCCTCATGAGCACAGTTAAGTGTTCTGGAATTCCCATTCTTCTCAATGTTATCCATAATTTGTTATGATCCCCACAATCAAATTCTTTTGCATAGTCAATAAAACACAAATAAAAATCTTTCTGGTATTCTTTGCTTTGAGCCAAGATCCATCTGACATCAGCAATGATATCCCTTGTTCCACGTCCTCTTCTGAATCTAGTTTGCATTTCTGAAAGTTCTTTGTCAGTATACTGCTGCAACAGTTTTTAAATTATCTTCAGCAAGATTTTACTTGCTCGTGATAATAATGATATTGTTTGATAATTTTCACATTCTGGGGATCATCTTTCTTTGGAATGGGCATAAATATGGGTATTTTCCAGTCAGTTGGCCATGTAGCTGTCTTCCAAATTTCTTGGCACAGACAAGTGAGTTCCTCCAGCATGCCGTCCATTTATTGAAACATCTCAGTGGGTATTCCGTCTATTCCTGGAGCCTTGTTCTTTACTAGTTCCTTCAGTGCAGCTTCAACTTCTTCGTTTAATACCATTGGTTCTTGATCATATGCCACCTCCTGAAATGGATGAACATTGACCAATTCTTTATGATACAGTGACTCTGCGTATTCCTTCCATCTTTTTTTGATGTTCCATGTATCATTCAATATATTGCCTATGGAGTCTTTCATTATTGCAACTTGAGGCTTGAATTTTTTCCTTGATTCTTTCAGCTTGAGAAATGATGAGCATGTTCTTCCCGTGTGGTTTTCTAATTCCTGATTTGCACATTTCATTATAATAATTGACTTTGTCTTCTCCAGCTGCTTTTTGAAATCTTCTGTTCAGCTCTTATCTTGTCATTCCTTCCATTTTCTTTAGCAGCCATCCATTCCAGGGCAAGTTTCAGAGTCTCTTCTGACATCCATTTTTGTCTTTTCTTCCTTTCCTGTTTTTTTAGTGACCTTTTGCTTTCTTCATTGATGATGGATGATGTTTTTGATGTCATCCCACAATTCCTCTGATTGGTCATTGAGTTCAGTGCATCAAATCTGTTATTTAGATCTCTAAATTTGGGAGGAATATAATCAAGATCATATTTTGGCTCTTGTTGGCTTCTTTTAAGTGTCTTCAGCTTCAAGTTGAACTTGCATATGAGCAGTTGATGGTCTGTTCCACAATCAGCTCCTGGCATTGTTTTGGCTGAAGATACTGAGCATCTCCGTTGCGTCCTTCCATAGATGTAGTTGAACTGATTCCCGTGTACTCCATCTGTGAAGTCCACGTGTATAGCTGCCATTTATGTTGTGGAAAAAAGGTATTTGCAATGAATAAGTCATTGATCTTGCAGAATCCCATCATGTGATCTGTAGCATTATTTCTGTCACCAAGGCCGTATTTTCCAGCTACTGGTGATTCTTCTTTGTTCCCAACTTTTGCCTTTGAGTCACCAGTGATAATCAACACAACTTGATTGCATGTTTGGTCAATTTCAGACTGCTGAAGTTGGTAAAAATCTTTAATTTCCTCATCTTTGGCTTTGGTGGTTTGGGCGTAAATTTGAATAATGGTAGTATTAAATGGTCTTCCTTGTAGGTGTGTGGATATTATCCTATCACTGCTGGCACTGTATTTCAGGATAGATCTTGAAACATTCTTTGTGTCAATGAATGCCTTGTCATTCCTCTTCAATTTGTCATTGCCAGCATGGTAGATCATGTGGTTTGATTCAAAATGGCCAAAACCAGTCCATTAATGCTTAGGATAGGAGCTTTAGTGGCTTAGTGCTTAAGGCATTTGACTGCTAACCAGAAGGCTAGAGGTTCAAACCCAACAGCCACTCCTCAGAAGAAAGACTGGGCAATCTACTTCCATAGAGATACTGCCTCGGAAACCCAAGGAGGGGTTGCTATGAGTTGAAATTGACTTGATAGCAGTGAGTTTGGATTTTTTTTTTTTTAATGCCTGGGATATGGATTTTTATGTGTTCATTTCATATTTGACAATTTCCAATTTTCCTAGATGCATACTTTGGACAGTTCTTGTTCCAATTATTAATGGATGTTTGCAGTTGTTTCTTCTTATCTTGAGATGTGCCACATCAGCAAATGGAGGTCCCAAAAGCTTTACTCCATCCATGTCATTAAGGTTGGGTCTACTCTGAGGAGGCAGCTCTTCCCTAGTTGCATTTTGAATGCCTTCCAACCTGAGGGGCTCATCTTCCAGCACTATATCGGACACTGTTTCGGGGCTATTCATAAAGTTTTCCAGTCATATATCATACAGTGTTTCACTGCTATCCATAGGTTTTCACTGGCCAATTCTTTGAGAGTGGATGGCCCCTTCCTTCTTCTGAGTCTGTCTTAGTCTGGAAGCTCCACTGAAACCTGTCTGCCATGGGTCACCCTGCTGGTATTTGTTATATCGGTGTCAACCTCCAGCCTCACAAGACACAATCTACCAGTGTACGACAAACTGACAGACGAGTGGTGGTTATCAGATGTATGATTTGTAAATATTTTCTTCCATTCTGTTGGTTGTATTTTCACATTCTTGATGGTATCTTTTGAAGCACAAAAGTTTTTAATTTTGATGAAGTCCAGTTTATCTAATTTTTCTTTCATTGCTTATGCTTTTGGTGATCTGAAAAACTATTGCCTAATACAAGGTCATGAAAATTTATTCCTATGTTTCCTCTATGAGTTTTATATAGTATGAGGTAGAGGCATATCTTTGTTCTTTTTCATATGGATATTCAGGTGTTTTGCACTATTTGTTGAGGATGATTCTTTCTCTATTTAATTGTTTTGGCACCCTTATTAAAAATTGATTGGTCTTAAATGTAAGGACTTAGTTCTATTCTATTAATCTATATATATGTCTGTCCTTATGCCAGCATACCATATCTTGATTACTACAGTTTTGTAGTAGGTTTCAAGTCTCAGTCTTTGAAATTACCCAGCAGGTGATATCTCCTCTGAATTGTTGCACTTGCTACCTAAATGAGGCATTGAGTAAATGCCTCTAATGCATATCATTTATCTTTGTATGTATATGCTTGATCTTCCTGGTCAGATTGTTAGTGGTTTGAGAGGTACAGACCATGTCTTTTACAACTTTGTGGGCAGAATGGTTAATTCAGAGTCTTAATCATAGTAGGTGCTCACTAACCATTTGTTGAGGATAATTATGATACGTAATTCACTCAAATTTTTTTTGTTGTGAAAATTTTCAAACTTATGTGAAAATAGAATAGTAAAAGCAACTGATGTGCTGCTCATGTAGATTCAGTAGTTACCAGGTTTTTGCTACAACTGCTTCATTGTCACATGCTTTTTTCCTTTGCTGCAGAATCTTTAAGCAAACCCCAGACAGCCTATCATTTCATTCTTTCAATTTGCATTTTAAAAAATATGAACATTTTCTTACATGACCACAATGCCATTATCACACCTAATGAAAGGAACAAAAATTCTTTGGTATTATATAATACTCAGTGCACCATCATATTTCCCTCATTGCCTAAAAAATGCCATTTTCACTTCATTTGTTTGCATCAAGGTCCAAACAGAGTTCTCACATAATACTTAGTTTTTAATCTCTGAATGGATTGACTGTTTATTATGTAGTAAAAATTCATCAGTATATTTTATTAGATGACATGGGTTTTGTTCATATTCATAGCTTCTAATACTAGAATATTCACAAAGCCAAATGTATGGTTATATCCCTTAGCTAACCTTAGTAAACTCCTGTAAATCTTAAGACCTGTGGCTTCTATCTCTGCTTTTGCTTCAGGACCTCTGCTTCCCTGTGTTTTTACATTTAATGTCCTACTTCCATATGAAGCCTTTTCAGGGTTATAAAAATACTGCATTGTTATTCTTGGCAATGATGTGATTTTCATGAAATGTGTGTGACTTGTGCCTAAGGTGACTCAGTGCTTTTGCCCATTAACGCTGTACTTAGTAAGTATGTGTATATGTGTTTATGTAATTGTACATGTAACCAAAAAGTTTAACAAAGTAATTCTTAACTTTATTATGTGCAGTGTGCTTTTAAGATTTTCTATTCTGTATTCTATTTTATTAAAAATACTTTGGTTTTGGCCTACGAATTAATTTTAAACCATAATCACCAGTTGCCATTGAGTTGATTCTGGTCTTGTGTGTGTCTGGGTAGAACTGTGCTCCATAAGGTTTTCAGTGGCTGATTTTTTGGAAGAAGGTTGCCAGGGCTTGCTTCCTGGGAGCCTCTGGGTAGACATGAACCTCCAAGTCCTTTCAGTCAGCAGCTGAATGTGTTAACCATCTTTATCCATTCATGGACTCCCAAATTGATTTTACCACCCACTGAATGAATCCCAACCTGCAGCTTGAAAACACTAATTTCTTGGACAATCTTGTACAAAGGAAGTTAGAAACTAATATTTTTAATTTTTATTTTAGCTAAGCCTATTAGTTCTAGATACTTTTAATGATTTTTTTAAATCGTTTTTGATAATTTAGAGGACTGTAAAAATTTCTGGTATGAATGCTTATAAATGTATGTTAAGTTGGACCAGAAAGAATGAAATAAATGGATGAATCAGACTATATATGGTGGGCCCTCACAATCTGAATTGGCAGCTTCTTTGAACCATTATAATATATTTTTTTCCTGTATAGTTACGTCGTCATGAAATACACAAATCGAAAAATAGAGCATTAGTACATTGGGAACTCCAAGAAAAAGCTTTGAAGAGAAAATGGAGGAAGCAGAAGCCAGAAGTGTCAAATCTTGAGAAAAGGAGATTGACTATCATGAAGGAGGTAATGCTAAACTTTATTGTCTTTAAAATTAGGAAGAAAATAACAAGATAAATAGGTTTCTCTCTTTTTTTTCCCACATTGGATTTACATTGGAGAGACTGTTTTTTTTTTTTTTTAAAAAAAAAAAACAGCAAAGTGATAATTAGAGTTTAGCATGGTGGTTTGAATTTCTCCCCAGTTTACCAGCATGTGGCCTTGTTTTGTTAGGTGCCATCCAGTCGTCTCTGACTCATAGCGACCCTATATACAACAGAGTGAAACACTGCCCAGTCCTGTGCCAGCTCCACAATCCTTGCTACACCTGAGCCCATCATTGTAGCCACTCTGTCAGTCCATCTTGTTGAGAGCTTTCCCTCTTCCGTTGACCTTCCACTTTACCAAGCATGGTATCTTTCTCCAGGGAATGGTCCCTTTTGACAACATAACCAAAGTAGATGAGACAAAGTCTGGCCATTCTTGCTTCCAAGGAGCATTTTGGCTGTACTTTCTACAGGACAGATTTGTTAGTTCTTTTAACAGATCATGGTACTTTCAGCATTCTTCACCAGCACTAGAACTCAAAAGCATCGATTCTTCTTTGGTCTTCCTTGTTCATTGTCTAGCTCTCACATGCATATGAAGTGATTGAAAATACCATGGCTTCTGTTAGGTGCACCTTAGTCCTCAAGGAGACATCTTTGCTCTTCAGCACTTGAAAGAGGTCTTTTGCAGGCGATTTGCCTAGTGCTGTACATTGTCTGATATCTTGACTGCTGCTTCCATTGGTGTTGATTGTAGAACCAAGTAATATGAAGTCTTTGACATCTTCAGTCTTTTTTCAGATGATGATTAGCCAGATGCAAGATCCAATCGAGCAAGAAGCCAGAAGAGCTTTGTTAGGGCATCCATATATATTGGAAGCAGGCCACACTCCTAAGGAAACTCCCTTTCAACTGATTGGCTGCTCATAGCAGATGTCATTGTGGAAGTGATTATATTATATCAGATCTCATCATGGGGGATGACTATATCATAACTACTAAACCATTGGGAATCATGGCCCTGCTAGGTTGATATACAGCCTTAACTATCACATACTCCATTGGCCAGAACTTCATCACATGGTCATTTCCACTTGCAATGTGTTTGGGCTATCCAGCTTTGTACTTGGCTAAAACATTTAAGTTCTCCTTCATGTTAAAGGAAGAAGGAATATTGGTGGACAAATAGAAATGTCTGCCACTCACGGATTGTTTCCTTACCACAATGAATAATGTAATGACTGTCCTTGAATATGCTTTAAGATACATATCTAAATATATTTGTAGGGTGAATTCTTAGAAGTAAAATTTCTGAGTCAAAGTATATGTGCATCTATTATTTGATACTACTAAACTTATCGTGTCTCTGTTTAAGAGATGTGATTGAACCAAAGGAAGAAGGCCCCCTAAACATACCCTATTTAATCATTGTATATTAGAACTATCAGGACCCATCCCCCTAAAGCTGGAGCTCTTGGGAACCTATATTAACATAAAGTAAGAAAATAACTCTTTGACCAGCATTAGCTTTGATTTCATGTGCTGCAGGATATATCCATGCTGTGGAAGTTAAGCAAATGAGGGTCCACATCTAACTTAGAAAGAAGGAGGCTTTCAGAAAGATACTGCAAATTCCAAAATTATAATGACTTCCCACAACTCTGTAATCTCCCAATTTTTCCTGGTTTTTATTACTGTGGAACAAAAGGGCTAGACTGAGAGATTTCGGATGTTTTCACAGGAAACTTGACTAATCCTTTGATAATTCAGGATACATACTACCACTCCTGAGTTTGGCTTTGTGTTCTGCAAACCCATCTAGGGAAATAATATATATAGATGGATTTACAGAAATGAATTTACCTAAGGATGCATCTTATTGAAGAATAAAGCAATCTAGAAAGAGCAAAGGAATGCTGGTCCACTGATCTCTGGGCACTCAAACCATCTGCCCCAAGGAGCCTAGGCAGAGACTAGCAGGGAAGGCATCAGGGCAGCAGATTTACTTGAGACTTATTAATATCAGGTCTTGATATGATTGGTAAGACAGTGGTGGTTAAGTGTGGTTGTGTTGGCTCTGACCCTATGTACAATAGAACAAAACACTGCCTGGTCTTGTGCCATCCTCACAGTGTTTGCTATGCTTGAGCTAACCATCATAGTCACTGTGTCAGTCCATCTCATTGAGGGTCTTCCCCTTTATAGCTGACCCTCTACTTTACCAAATACAATATCCACTACCAGAGAATTATCCCTTCTGACAACATGACCAAAGTACTTGAGACAAAGTCTGGCAATTCTTGCTTCTAAGGGGCATTCCGTCTGTTCTTCTTCCAAGACAGGTTTGTTTGTTTTTCTGACAGTCCTTGGTGTTTTTGTTATTCTTTGCCAATACCACAATTCAACTGCATCAATTCTTCTTCAGTCTTTCTTATTGTCCAGCTTTCACATGCATATGAGGCAATTAAAAATACCATGGCTTGGGTCAGGTACACCTTAGTCTTCAAAGTGATTTCTTTGCTCTTTAAATCTGTGAAGAGGTCTTTTGCAGCAGATTTGCCTACTGCAGTATGTCATCTGATTTCTTGACTGCTGCTTCCATGGGCATTGATTGTGGATCCAAGTAAAACAAAACCCCTGACAACTTCAATCTTTTCTCCATTTATCATGATGCTAGTAAGGTTATCCCCTCACAACCTGCTTCTGTGAGTTACATCTAGAGCTTTGATAAGAAGTCAGTGCTTATTTTTTAGATAATAAACTTCTAAAATTACCATTAGGAAATACACTTAAAACAATAGAAAGAAAATCCCACTGCCATCAAGTTGATTCTGACTCATAGTGACTCTGTAGGACAGTAGAACCATAGGGTTTCCAAGGCTGTAAATCTTTTTGGAAACAGACGCCTCATCTTTCTCCCACGGAGTGACTGGTGGCTTCCAACTGGCAGCCTTTTGGTTAGCCCCTGAGTGTGTTAACCTGTGAGCCACCAGAGCTATTTGGTGGTGGTGGTGGTGGTGTTAGATGTTGTCGAGTTGCCTCTGACTCACAGTGACCCAATGTACAACAGAATAAAACACTGCCTGGCCCTGCACCAGCCTCACAATCCTTGCTATACCTGAGCCCGTTGTTGTAGCCACTGTGTAAATCCATCTCATTGAGGGCCTCAACTTTACCAAGCATGATATCCTTCTCCAGGGAATGGTCCTTTCTGACAACATGACCAAAGTAGGTGAGATGAAGTCTGGTCTTTCTTGCTTCCAGGGCTCCTTAGGAAATAAAATTTTTCTAGTATAATGGTAGATTATACTGATCGATTCACATTCTTTCTTAAGCTCTAATTGCTTATACTTGCAAGATGGTTAGCCAGGGATAGAAATTTGGTTCATGGTTGTAGCTACATTCTTAAACATTGCTGTAGTGCTTGCCGTGTGGCTTTTCAGTGTGTCCATATCTTCCTAACACTGCTGTGGGATTGAGTTCGTGGGTATATCTCCATTTTCACATCAGGAAACAGCCATAGTTAGATTTTGCTTTGTATCCCTTGACTGGATCTAGAATCCCATTCTGCTGGCTCCATATGTGCTTTTTGCCTTATACCATCCCAAAGTTTATTCTTTGCAGAAGGAACAAATTCAGAACCTTATTCATATCAATTGAGCCAACCTGTTTGACTGTAGGAGCTCTGGTGGCATAGTGCCTAAGGCAATTGACTGCTAACCAGAAGGCTGGTGGTTCAAACTCACCAGCCACTCCTTGGACAGAAAACTGGGCAATCTACTTCCGTAGTGATACTGCCTTGGAAATGTAAGGAGGGGTCTCTATAAGTCAAAATTGGCTCAATGGCAGTGAGTTTGGGTTTTTTGGTTTTGTTTGACTCTAGGGAAAAGGGGGGAAAGTAAGAATGTGATTCTTGTTTTTTTTCTCAATGTCTTAAAACAGTAACTGAGTTCTGGTAAGACTATAGTTACTAGATATTTTATTGAGTCAGTGCTAGAAACTGGACAGTTGGCAAGTTTGAGACTCTTTTCAACTTAACAGTGCCATCTAGTGGTGGTAGAGGATAGAATTGACTTGATTTCACTCTGGCCTTTGGCCTTGCTTGCAGCTATGCAGTTTCCTAAGTTGAAAGTACATAAGCAATAGCACTTATGTGATTTTTGGAGTTCCCATTTTCTCCAGGATAAAAACTGACTTGTTTGTGAACATATTTTTGTTTAATGCCCCAAAACTTATATTTTACTTCATGTTTTTTAAGCTTTAAGCTGTGGGTCACCTCACGTTAGTGTACTGTGAAATCACTTTAGTGGTTGAAATACTTCTGAGTTTATGGTTTAGAGATTCACACTTCAAAGATTCATATATTTAATCAGTATTTTTCAAACTGTGGCTCACAGCTCATTAACGGATTGTGAAATGAAGCTAGTGGGTTGTAACCATTATTTAGAAAAATGCAATAGAGTAGAAATGAAAATAGAATATCAGAGTGGTTCTCATGGAGTAAGGTACAGTTTCTGTGAAACTTTTATTTCAGTGATATGTATTTGTGTGTGTATGTGTGTGTACTGGGGAACAATATATATTTCTTAGTGTGATTTGCAGACAATTATTTGAAAGCCACTAATTGTGGTCTTAGCCTCATCTACTGATACTTAGTCCTGGTAGCACCGTGGCTAAACACTCAATGGCTAATCTATTTGAACCCACCAGCTGCTCCTTGGGAGAACGATGTGACAGTCTGCTTCTGTAAAGACTTATAGCTTTTGGGCAGTTCTACTCTGTCCTCTAGAGTTGCTGTGAGTCAGAATTGACTTGAAGGCAGTGGGTTTGGGTTTTTTGGTTTGGAGTGGTACTTAATGATATTGTCACTAAAGAATTTTCAAGGGAGGTAGTTGCCTATGTTTGTTTTTAAGTTCTATGCCTTTTTATGGACTTTTCCTTTGTGATTTGAAAAGTATATTGTTGTTTTCTAAGTAATATTTATCATTAACATGTCTAGATTCTTTCTGATCAATACCAGATGCAGGATGTTTTGGAACGATCTGATCATTTGATGACTGCAGCAAAAGATCTGTTTGTTGATTTTCCTCGTAGGCGCACAGGTAAATTATCCAATCTAAACAACAACTTTTTTTCTTATTAACTATAGCCTGCAACTGACTATTCAGAATTTAAAATCCTTTCTCAGGCATCATAGTATAATTATTCTAGGGTAGATGGTGTATATGGTTGTTATGCTTAGATTTATTATAATTTGTTTCCTTTCAAGTAAGAGTATTAACTATTACTATTGAGATAAGGAAAGGTAAATTGTTATTATCTCCTAAAATATGTTATGGTATAATGTATAGCGTGTCATAATTACAAAATGACATTTTCAGTTTATTAATATTAAATTACCACAAAACTAAAATACTATATTTATATATAATTTGAGTAAAGCTTAATTTAAAACCTACAGCAACATCGATCTTTTTCTAAAAGGAGTTTTTCCTCTTGTTAGATACATAGAATTATTTATTTTAGTGTGCATATATTACACTATTTATCTTAATTCATCAAATATATCATTAGTTTTTAGTTTAATGTTTGAATCTTGGCTTGGTCAATTATTAGTGCAACTGGGCATCTTGCTTAATGTCTCTGAGTTTCAGTTTACTGATCTGTAAAATGAAGATGATAGTAGTACCTAGCTCATAGAGTTCTGTGAGGATAAAATGAGTCAGTATATGTGAAAGTGTTTGAAACAGTGCCTAGCATATAGTAAGAGTATGTCAGTGTGAGCTACGTTATTACTTAAGATTTCCATATGGTAATGCAAACCTATTGCAGTGCATAGTAGTTGTGAAGTCAGTTTAATTAAATGAAGTAAAGGCATATAGCTTATTTTCCTTCTGCAGGGTTTCCAAATGTAACAATGGCTCCTGATTCCTCTCACAGTCCTATTGTGGTAAATCAAGACCCCGTTACTCAGTCCATTCTGAGTGAATCTGTCATAGACCCTCAGGTAATGTGCTTTGTTCACAGCTATAATATTCAAGTGAATATTTCAGTTTAAGTAGATGTGGGCATTATGGTAAAAGTTTTAAAAGCTTAAATATCAAGACAGACCAAGTTACAGTTGCTAAAATTCCTCTTACTCAAACAGATTGCACTTTTTATGAGTAACATTTGTATTATAACAGAAGAGAGTAAAATAGCTAACATTTATTGAAGGAGCTCTTATGGCACAGTGGTTAATGGATTTGGCTGCTAAACAAAAGGTTGGTGGTTCAAAACCACCAGCTGCTCCATTGGAGAAAGATGAGACAGTCTATTTCCATAAAGATTTACAACATTAGAAACCCTGTGATGCAGTTCTACTGTATCCTAAAGGGTTGCCATGAATTGGAATCAACTTGATGGTAGTAGGTAGGAACATTTATTGAGTGCTAACTTAGGAGGTAAGGAGCTCTGGTGGCATAGTGGGTAAGGCATTTGGCTGCTAACTAGAAGGTCAGTTATTCAAATCCTCCAGCTGTTCTGCAGAAGGAAGATGGGACAATTTACTTCCATAATGATCTATAGCCTCGGAAACCCAATGGGGGTCTCTGTGAGTCAGAATCGACTCGATGGCAGTGAGTTTTTTTTTTTTTTAACTTATGGGTTATGTACTGTTACATCTCCATTTAACAGATGAAGAAACTGAGGCTCAGAAATATTAATTGATTTATCCAAGATCTCATAGATAGTTAATATCTCATACATACATAGGTAAGATTGAACCTAGGCCATTGGCTCCAAAGAACTGTACCACTGTCTCCCATTATGGATACAGCAGGGAGTTTTTCCACTTTATACTTTGGTATCAGATGAATCAGTGTTCCTATTCTGTTACTTAGTTACTGATCTTAAGGTATCTGAATTGGCTCAGAAGGTTTTTTGTTGTTGTCAAGTAGGAATAGAATATGTGGTTGTTGCAAAAATCAGCTTGATTGCTGCTTTGCCACAATAAATGTAATGCATATCCTTGAATATGCTTTTCTTCTCTGTCATCAATTCCAGCTCATAGTGACCCTACAGGACAGAGTAGAACTGCCCATAGGGTTTCTAAGGCTATAAATCTTCACAGAAGCAGACTGCCTCAACTTTCTCCCGTGGACCAGCTACTGGGTTCGAACCGCTGACATTTTGGTTAGCAGCCAAATGCTTTTAACCACTATGCCACTAGAACTCCTTTCTTTAAATGTTAGTTCCTTCTAATCTATCAGTGTGTTTAAAAAGTAGGTGCCCAAGGAAACTAGGAATTTATTGATTAGTTGTATGGGAAATTATATTAGGTGGCATAGTGTCTAAGGCATTTGACTGCTAACCAGAAGGCTGGCAGTTTAAACCCACCAGCCACTCCTCGGAAGGAAGATTGGGCAGTCTACTTCCATAGTGATACTGCCTCGGAAACCCAAGGAGAGGTCGCTGTGAGTCGGATCCAACTTGACGACAGTGAATTTTTTTTTTTTTCTTTTAGTAGAACATCAATTAGCTATATCTTAACCAAATTGTTGTTGGGTGCTATCAGGTAAGTTGTTTCTGACTCATAGTGACTCATCCATATATGACAGAGTAGAACTGCCTAATAGTGTTTTCTTGGCTGTAATTTTTACAGAAGCAGATTTGCAGGTCTTTCTCCCAAGAGCTGCTGGGTGGGATCAAACTGCCAGTCTTTTGGTCTTTTGATGGCATAGTGCCTAAGGCATTTGACTGCTAACGAGAAGGCTGGTGGTTTAAACCCACCAGCCGCTTCTCGGAAGGAAGGTTGGGCAATCTACTTCTGTAGAGATACAGCCTCGGAAACCCAAGGAGGGGTCGCTATGAGTTGGATCCAACTCGACAGCAGTGAGTTTGGTTTTTGGAGTAAAAGGGACTGGGAAGAAAAGGTCAAAAGGATAGAAGAAAAAAGAAAATGGTATCACGGAAGTTAAAGGAAGAGTGCATCAGGAAGATTTTTAAAGGAAAGGAATGACTGGTCATTAATGTCTCACAAGTCAGAAAAGTCAGGGAAGGTAAAGACTAAGAAATATGCACTTGTTTTAGGGACAAGTGTGTTAATGTTGACCTTATACAAAATAGTTTGAGTGGAGTGGTAAAACAAAATCCAAGTTGTGGAGCATAGATGATAAATGAGATGTGGAGATAATTCTTTCAAGAAGAGAAAAGCTAGATGGTAATGAAGGGAGTATGGGGTCAGGGCAAGATGGGAGAGGCCTGCCCACAGTTAAATGTTAGTGAGATGAAAACCAGTACAGTGAGAGATTTGAAGATGCAGGAGAGAAAAAGGACATTGATGGCGTGGAAGGAGTTGAGGGAGTTTGGGTTCCAGAACTCATGTGGGGGGATTAGCCTTAAAAAGAGGGACCACTTTGCTGTTAAGACAGAAAGAAAGAAAGGATGAGTGCAAATATAACCAGCTTGTGTTATTATTTTCATTGTTGACATAGGCTCTTAATGAAGTAGATGATGAAGGAAGAGAAGGATCTGTTAATACCCAGTCAGAAGAAAGTGAGAATGAGTTGAATAGCACTCTAAACTCTGAGTCTGACATGAATACAGATAGGTATGTATGTATGGGATAAATATTTACAGATATTCCCTTATTTCCAAAGTCATTATAAATGTTTATTACATTATCTTTCTTATTAATTGGGAGTATATGGGAGCTCTGGTAGCATAGTGCCTAAGTCATTTGGCTGCTAACCACAAGGCTGGTGGTTCAAACCTACTAGCCACTTCTCAGAAGGATGGTTGGGCAATCTACTTCCATAGTGATACTGCCTCAGAAACCCAAGGAGGGGTCAGATCCAACTTGACGGCAATGAACGTTTTGTTGTTGTTGTTTATCATGTGAAATTGACCAGAAAGTTGTAAGAATAGTACAAATAACTCCTATAAACTCTTCAGCTACATTCACCAGTTGCTGAGATTTACCCACGTTTGCTTTTCCATTCTGTCTCTTTCTCTGTGTTTGTGCTCACATGCATGCATGCATATACACATACACTCCTAAAGAACCTTTTTAGAGTAAATGGCATACTTCACATTCTTTTATCCCTAAACACTTCTGTATATATTGCTTGACATCTAGTGTATTTGTTTTTATAATCAGAATACAATGATCAAAATCAGGAAATCACACTGATTCCATATTGTTATCTAATCCACAGACCTTACTCAGGTTCTCCATTTGTCCCGATGGTATCCTTCATGGCCATTAATTTTTTTCAAGTTGAAGAACCAATGATAATCACTTAATTACATTTATTATTATTATTTTATTATTTTAAATTGTGATTTGGGTGAAAGTTTACAGAGAAAATTGTTTTCCATTCATTAATGCACGTACATTTTGTTTTGTAACATTCATCGCAATCCTCCCAAGGTAACACTCTTCCCACTTCTCTCCTGTGTTTACCATATCCTTGTGTTTACCATATTCTTTTATTTTTCTTGCCTATCTCTTCCGTTTTCTAACTTTATCCATGGGCAAATGCTGCCCTTTTGATCTCCTCTGGTTGATTGTTCTAATTAGTGCCTACCTTCCTGGTATTATTGTATTGTGTTACAATTGGTATTATTGTATTATAGGCCTGTCTGTTGTTTGACTGAAAGGTGAGCCATGGAGTAAAGGGTGTCTTGGCCTGAAGGGTGTCTAATCCCCATAGCCTTGGGGATTCCAGCAGTCTCTGTCAGACCAGTAAACCTGGTCTTTTTATGATTTTGAGTTTTGTTCCACATTTTCTCTCACTTTATCTGGGACCTCCTATTATGATCCTTTTCAGCGCATTCAGCTTTGGTAGCTGGGCACCATCTAGTTATTATGGTGTCAGGGTCATGGAGGCTAGGGTTCACATGGTCCATTAGTACTTTGGAGTAATTATTTCCTTGTGTCTTTGATTTTCTTCACTCTTCTTTGCTTGGATAGGGAGAGATTAATAGTTGCTCCTTAGATGATAGCTCACAAGCTTTTAAGACCCCAGTTGCTACTCACCAAAGTAGAGTGTAGAACATTGTCTTTGTGGTCTGTGTTATGCCAATTGACCTCTTTGTCCCCCAAGACAATGGTCCTGAGCTCCCATTCCCAGCAAATCATTCCCTCAAGGTGTTTGGTCATGACTAAGAAGTTTTCATAACTTTGCCCCCTGTATGCTTTACTATATTCATGGATATTTTTGTACCACATATAAATACATATGTAGAAATATTCTCTGTCAAGCCTATACATTTTCATGGATATAGTCTTATTCACTTTCCCAGCTTTGTACAGGTTCAATGTCTATGTGTCAACTCAGATTATTGTTATTACTGTTTTTGCAGAACTGTGTATATAATAGTATTTACCTCTGTTGCCTTTAACTCTTGTTTTCCTCCCAGTGTCTTTCTTTGTCTTGATCATTTTGTGCCTACCTTGCCCTTGTTATGTGTTGCCTTTCTCTTCACCCAAGTTAGTATGTGTCTACCCTCTGGTTGGTGATAATGCCCTCCCACACTTGGTAACCATCAAAGAGTGATTCTTTGTGTGTGTAAACCTTTTCTTGACTTTTTCACAGTAGGGGTCTCATACACTCTTTGTCCTTTTGTGATTGACTAATTTCACTCAGAATGATGTCCTCCTCTACTGTAAGACTACCACAATAGATAATTATGAGTTTACTACTTCAGAAAACCCAAAACCAAAATCACTGTCATTGAGTCAATTCCGACTCATAATGACCCTAGAAATAGTAGAACTGCCCCATAGGATTTCCAAAGGGGCCTCATCTTTCTCTTGTGGAGCTGGCTGGTAGGTTCGAAACCACCGACCTTTTTGTTGACAGCCAAATGCTTTAACCACTGCACTACCACAGCCCTTAAGTATATTCCTTACATTTAGATATATGATAGGATATGATGGATTTGCTAATATTGAACTATTCTTGCATCATTTAAATAAATTCCACTTGATCCTGATGATGTATTACTTTCCTTAATGTGGTGTTGCATATTGTTTGTTAATATTTCATTTAGTATTTTTTGCATTAACGTTTATAAGTGACACTGATGTGTAGTTTTCTGTGTGTGTGTGTTCAGTCTTTACCAGGTTGAGGCAACAATGTTATACTTGGTTTCATAAAAGCAATATAGAAGTTTCCTAATTTTTTTTTTTAAGTTCTGGAACAATTTTTATAGAATTGGGATTATCTATGCTTTCAAAGTTTGATAGAATTAACATGTGAAACTATTTGAACCTGGTGCTTTCTTTTTTTTTTTT